TCTGGAGCTGCCGCGCGGCCTCGGCCGTACTTCGTTCCGCTCCTACAGCAGGTTCTTGGTCTTTCTCCTTCGGTAGAGTGTCCACAGCCTGTCCAGTCTTAGTCTCTGTTGGAGCCTTCCTCTCCTCTGCCTACTCCCTCTCCTCACACTGGTCCTACTGGAGGTCTTGCTGAGCGTCGTGAGCCTGCGTCTCGTCCCGCGTCGCCTGTTCGTGCTGCTCGCGCTAGTGGTCGCGGTTCGCGTCAGCGTCCTCCTCCTGTCCCTGGCACGCACCGGATGTCTCTGCGTCCGTCCACTGCTCCTCTGCGTGCCCCTTTGCCTTCTCCTCCTGAGTCCTCTCTTCCTACGCTTGCCGACCCTGAGTCGGACTCTCTTCGCGCTGCCAGTCCTACTGTCACGCGTCTGCTTGCTACTGTCGTCACTGACCCCTCTTTTGAGTCCACTGCTGCGTCTGCTCTAGTCGCTGAGCTCGTTGACTTTGCTGCTCGCTGTCGTCTCGACTACGCTGCTGGTCTTGTTGCTGAGTCTGCGTCTGTCTGTCCTCCGTCCGTCGGGGGTGAGTGTGCTCTTGGCACGGACGTCCTAGAGGACAGGCAGGAGGAGTTACAGTGTCTAGCGGCTGCTTCACCTCATCTCGCGTCTGTACTGCTTGCCCCTGAGGGAGACCCGGATGCACTAGACATCCCGACTCCGCGTTCTTACGCGGAGGCCGTAGAGGGTCCCTACTCCTCTCAGTGGCAGGCAGCTATGGATGCAGAGATGGCTTCCTGGAAGTCCACAGGCACCTACGTTGACGCGGTTCCCCCTCCTGGGGCGAACATCGTCAGTGGCATGTGGATCTTCAGGGTGAAGCGGCCGCCGGGCTCTCCACCTGTCTTCAAGGCACGGTACGTTGCTCGTGGCTTCAGTCAGCGGCAGGGAGTTGACTACTTTCAGACCTTCTCTCCCACCCCGAAGATGACTACTCTTCGGGTGCTGCTGCACATAGCCGCTCAGCGCGACTACGAGCTTCACTCTCTCGACTTCAGCACTGCGTTCCTGCAGGGTAGCCTGAACGAGGAGATCTGGCTGCGCCGTCCACCTGGCTTCACTGGGACTTTCACTCCTGGCACCCAGTGGAGCCTCCGACGGCCAGTCTACGGTCTCCGCCAGGCACCGCGTGAGTGGCACGACACACTGAGGACTACGCTTGCGGCTCTTGGGTTTGCTCCTTCTACTGCTGACCCGTCGCTGTTTCTGCGCACCGACACTTCACTGCCGCCGTTCTACATCCTCGTGTACGTCGACGACTTGGTCTTTGCCACAGCGGACACTGCTGGACTCGCCTACGTGAATTCCGAACTGCTGAAGAGACACACGTGCACAAACCTGGGTGAACTGCGCAGCTACCTTGGCTTGCAGATCACTCGGGACAGAGCACGCCGCACCATTACCTTGACTCAGTCACACATGGTGCAGCAGGTCCTTCAGCGCTTCGGCTTCACGTACTCCTCGCCTCAGGCCACTCCTCTGCCTACTCGCCACTCACTCTCAGCTCTGCCTTCGGATGAGTCCGTAGAGTCGAGTGGTCCGTATGCAGAGCTTGTTGGCTGCCTCATGTACCTGATGACCTGCACACGACCTGACCTTGCATACCCTCTGAGCATTCTTGCACGCTATGTTGCTCCTGGGAGACACAGACCGGAGCACATGGCTGCAGCGAAGAGGGTATTGCGCTACCTGTGCAGTACGTCGGGCATGGGGCTAGTGCTTGGAGGGCGGAGTCCAGTGGTCCTTACCGGCCACGCGGACGCTTCTTGGGCTGATGACCAGGCTACGCAGCGATCGTCACAGGGTTACACCTTCAGCCTTGGTTCCGGCTCTGTCTCGTGGCGGTCTACTCGCTCGTCTTCGGTTCTCGACTCCAGTTGTGAGGCTGAGATCTACGCCGGGGCCATGGCTGCACAGGAGCTTCGCTGGCTCACCTACCTGCTGACTGACCTTGGAGAGCCGCCTCGTTCTCCTCCAGTGCTGTACGTAGACAACAAGGCCATGCTGGCCTTGTGTCGAGAGCAACGCTTGGAGCACAGAACGAAGCACATTGCTCTCCGCTACTTCCTTGCTCGTGAGCTGCAGCAGCGTGGTCAGTTGCGACTTGCGTACGTGGCCTCTGAGGCCAACACTGCTGATGTGTTCACCAAGGCACTCGCGCCTTGTGATCATCAGCGCTTTTGCACCCAGCTGGGTCTTGTGTCTGTCTTGCCTCACTTGCTCTCCTCTTGACTTTACTTGTACTGTGACATATATATATACCTGCTCTTGCTTGTCTAGTTTTATATATATGTCTGTACTCCTGCATGTGAACTGGCCTCTGGCCCTGCTCTTGTGCTCGGACTGTGTGGTGACTTTGTGATCCACCCTGAGCTTGCTTTGCTTTGCTTGACTGGTCTTGTGACCCCTTGTTCTCCCCCACTTTGCCTATGGGGGTGTGTCAAACATTATACATGTTATGCTTGTGTAGGCTACAGTGGGTTAGCCTATAGGGGGTACACAATTCTAGGGTTTACTACTTGTACTCATTTCACTTCTAGTTCATCCATTCCTGTTCGCTTATTCTCACATTATCTACATACCATAAGTATAATATCAAGCAGTTCATCATGTCTTAGCACGAGAAAAACATAAGTTTTACGCAACCGTTCCGACGTTAACGTCGAATCTTGTTTGTAGTACTTCACTTATTCTCTATTTACATTATTCCATTCCGCTGCTCTGTATCCCAAATGCTCAACGATCTGTTATGAATAATATGGCTCGTGATGACACTATGCAAAGAAACATTTTCTATTATCGACTGTAGCTGCAGGGCACGATTTAATAAGATTATAGAACTCGCAAAATTGTTATTCCATTTACGTAACATGTTAGGCCAGATGGCCTAAGTTTGCCAAAGAATTAGCGGGGTAAACTAAATTGAGGATAAAGCGCGATAGAAGACTTTGGAGAAAGATGTGTTGGTGAAATAGGCGAAGAAGTAACTGAGTATTTGATGAATAAGAATTGATTGCTATTGGTGGATACAAGCAAGGATGATACAGCACGCAAGGTCGAATGTCGGAAAGTACTTCGTGGGACTAGAAAGTAGAAGCAAGAAAAGTAGAGTGCCACGTGACACTAGGAAATCCAAGAAGATAAGGATAAGGATGGGGTTGGGAGTTATTGTGCAAAGTGAACAGTAAAACCCCTTGTAACATATCTGGTGTTGATATCGTCGCACATGTACTTCGCTCAGCACAGCACCAAAAGACACGCCTCCCGACCAAGTCCTCGATTTGCTTCCCGAAAGTCCTAGCAGCGCCCAACTTTCATCCCTCCCGAACCGAGTCTACTTCTTGCACCCCCCCACACGCAACGCAAAAGTATTCAACGGTTGCTGTGGAATTGCACAGTGAGTCATAAGGCGCAGCTCGTCAATTGGTTTTCACTGTCGACTGCCTTCCGTTGTCCCAGGCTCCCGCACCAGTGAACACTTGCCCTTTATTTCTCTCTGCTGCGCATGGCCCCGCTGGATATCGTCGAAACACCCACTGAGTATGTTTTCCGTGTCGACGTACCTGGGTTTCAAGGGAAGGATTTGAGAGTGAGAGTTGATCCTGAAACGCTTGTTATTTCATTCAAGGGAGAGCGTCGTCAGGAGAAGTCGGCTAACGAGCGGCTTATTTGGAGAGAAAGAGTGCACGGGAGCTTTACCCGGGAGTTTCAGCTTCCGTCTGATGCAGACGTAGAACGTGTGACGGCTGCCTGTGTGGACGGCATCTTGACGGTTTTCGTCAAGAAACTTCCACCACAGCCTGAGCACAAGCGAGACAAAGTTATTGATGTCAAAGTGAAATCTCGACTGTGAATTGCATACTTGCTGGGTGGAGTGAGCGGTGTTAAGGTGATGCTGACATGCTTCAGTGACAGATATCTGAGTTCCGTTGGAACAAATTTGTGAGCCATAAAAAAAGAAATACTTTACATAGACGCAAAGATTTGTTCCAAACATTATATATGTTGTCAAGGATAGGTCATAATAAATACTCCACATAAGTACACTGTCATTGAGGTACAATGGTTCCGTCCTTTCTTCGTTACAAGGCTAACCCCTTCCTTCGTATTTCCCGAGATTGGTAACAAGCCCAACACCTTTGATTGATGGCAGGCGTTCGCCCCTCGATCTTGTCGCAAGCGCGCTCGGCTGATAGATCAGCGAAAGGGCAGGAAACACATCACTCTTGACTGGCGACAAAAGTCCCAGGCTCCCAGCTGAGCAAAGCTTCGCGCGAATGTTCTTTCTTGTTCGTGAAGGTACGGGCGACTGCGTCGCACATGTCGTACTCCTCAAGGTTCAACAGGTAAACAGTGGATGGAACCACCTATTTAGGGTTTCCTTACTTTCACTCTGTGAGCTAGCAGCACAACACGACTGCCGATTTTAGGGTTCAGTAGAGGTTAGTTCACAGTACTATGCGCATGCGACGCCTATCTTGTGTGTTGTATTTTGTTCCTTCCATCCCTTGTATGTATATTCCGCTCCCGTATTGATCGCCTAGAACATGATTTAACTGATTGTAGACTCGTCGTTTCGAGATCTTTCGTCGCCCTACTGCTGATAAGTTATCACTGCCTGCGTTCCGCGTGTGGTTCGTCCGGCAAGAGGAGGTCCGAGGTAGTACCTGATGGAAGTCATCCCCGTTATAGGGACGTGCAACAATGCCACACGGGAGAAGCACATGTCTAGGTGCGGCTTGCCATAGTAAAACGATTGGACTGTTCTCTAAAAGCTATCACTAGGCCCCAGCCGTCTCCCCTGATTTCCTGATTTTACTTGTTTTTCCAATTATGGCTAACGAGCCTCTCGCTCGTCTCCACATCACCCGTTCCGTTTGCAGGCGCATCGCAGAGGAAAGCTGATTCGTTATGGTTTTATTCGAACAACCCTCTCTTGCATGGTTGATACGTAACGGTTAAAACTTTCTATGGAAAGGTTTCGTGGTCTTCGCATTGACACGGCTCCAACTCCCGAGCAGCCACAGCCACAGCCGCAGCAACAGCATAGCTTTGTCAGACCAGTTTATGCGACCTCAGGTTACACTGGTGCATCGGGTTACCCTATTCCGTCTGCAGGAAACTCCTCGTCTGGTTACCCCAGTACGTCCGTTTCTCAGGGAACCAGTTATGGTGCTCCGAATAACGGTGGTTACACGGCCGGTTACCGTGGCCCGTACGGCACGTCGGCTGTCCCGGGCACAGCCGGTTACATCTCCCCGTACGGTTACAACTCCGGTTCATCTGCCTCCAACGCGTCTTACGGACCCCCGTACCGTGGACCACCCCCAGGGGCGGCGCCCGCCTATATTTCCGCCGCTCCCGCAGCTGCACCGCCTTCCGCTTTTGTTTCCGCCACTGGCGCAACCCGGGGGGTGGGAGGCGGAGCAGCCGTCCCCGCGAGCGCAGCAGGCGGATTTGTGGGCGCAGGAAGAAGCGGAACCAACCCCGCATGGACGGGCACGTCCGCCGCCTCTGCCGCCGCCGCCGCTATTCTGGCGGAAGCGGATAGAGACGAGGACCCGGGGGGGAGACGGAGCTACAGCCACAGCTACAACCAAGGCTACGGCCACGCTAGCGCGCAGAGCGCCAGTCAGGCGCACGCGCCGGGGGGAAACAGTCACGCGGCTTCCCGCGTGTCGTCTGCGCGCTCCTCTATAAGCAGCTCCAGTAACCGCAGCTCGCCGCGGTCCGACGCGACGGATAGAAGCGCGCGCAGGGCGCGGCGGAAAGCGTTTACCGCCAGCGGAGCCGGCGCGGGGAACTCCGCCGTTTCCGCGTCCCTGTCCGCGGGCGCGGCGGACAGCGGGGGGAGCTCGGAGGGGAAGCGGCGGGAGCGGTCCGCCCGCGCGCGGTTACCGCGGAATGGGTCTGTGGGGAGCCTGGTTGGGGAGTCGTCTGGGGGGAATGGGTCCGGGGCGGTGGCGGGGGGGAGGGGGTCCGCGGAAGAGGACGGGGGAGCGCAGTCGCGGGAGCGGGGGCAGCTGGCGCATGGGCAGGCGCGCCCAGTACAGCCGCACTCGCTACAGTCACACCCGCTACAACCGCACTTGCTACAGCAGGAGCATCAGCATCTGCATCACCAGCAGGCGCAGGCACAACAGCAGTACCATCACTACCAACAGCAGCAGCAGCAGCAGCAGCAGAATTATGGGAGCGGGGATACCAGGCACGGCGGAAGCGGGGAGGCGCTGGGCGGGGGGAGAGGGGAGGCGGACGGCGGACCGGGCGGAGGGGGCGGGGCGGGAGTGGTGGACTGGCGCGGGTGGAAGGTGACGCGGAGGTTGGAGTTTGAGGGGGCGGACTGCGCGCTGATAAAGGCGTTCCTGGGGGACAAGGACGCGTGGGCGTGTCTCGAGGAGAGTGCAGCGAATCGAATCTACATCTTTGAATATCTCAACACTGTCCGGACCTCCCACCCGGCTCTACTGCAGGTAAGTCTGATGTAGCAGCCGGTTAGCAGTCACAGTAGTCGGCTAGCAGTCATAGCAGTCGGTTTGCAGTCTGTGGCGCAGGTGCAACGCGGAGGTTGGAGTTTGAGGGGGCGGACTGCGCGCTGATAAAGGCGTTTCTGGGGGACAGGGACGCGTGGGCGTGTCTAGAGGAGAGTGCCGCGAATCGAATCTACATCTTTGAGTATCTCAACACTGTTCGGACCTCGCACCCGGCTCTGCTACAGGTATGTGTGAGACGTTAGCGGTTAGCAGTCATAGCAGTCGGTTAACAGGCGGTAGCGATTCGAAAGCGGTCTGCACGTTCGTAAGGGCGTTCGTAGGCTCCAAGTTTTAGGGTACCGATTAGAACACCTCTTAGAATACCTTCAACACTGTTCAGACTTTCCACCCAACTCAGAAAGAGGAGCTTTTGGAAGAAAGAGGTGCAGCGACGGGAGGTGATATTCATTGCTAGTCTTCTCATCCCCCTTCCCCCTTTTTTCTCTTACTGCAGACCTACCAGACGGTCCTGCTGTCCCACGGGCTGACCACGGAAAGCCTCAAGGCGCAGAGGCGGGAGGTGCTGCAGCTGTTCGCAGTGCTGCTCACGGCACAGGACGGGCTGTGGAAGCTCAAGAAGGGGCAGCTTTTAGACCTTATCTGCCACTCAGACGCCTGGAAGAAGGCACAACAAGCACAAGCAGCACAGCAGGCACAACAGGCTCAACAAACACACCAGGTTCAAATACGGGCAGTTGCGGGTGGGGATGAGCGGAGTGCGGTGGGAGAAAGGGTGGTTGAGGCGACGGGCGGTGCTGCTAGGGATGTGATGGCTGGTGGGATAGCGGCCAGGGGTGTGGCAGCAGATGCAACCGTGCGAGCGGGATCAGGAGCAGGAGTGGGAGTGGGAGCGGGAGCAGGAGCGGGAGCGGGAGCGGGAGCGGGAGCGGGAGCGGGAGGGACGACAGGTCTTGCAGGAAGAGTGGTTGCCTCGGCGCCATCGCGGCCAGGTTCAGCCTCCTCCCGGCCTGGTTCGGCGTCATCAAGGCCAGGTTCGGCGTCGTCGCGGCCAGGTTCGGCGTCTTCAGGACCAGGCTCGGGATTGTCCAGGGGTGGATCAGGCTCGTCCAGACCAGGTTCGGCACAAGGGAGAGACAAAGAAGCCTCGGTTGTAGCTGCAACTGCTACAGCCTCAGCTGCAACAGTATCAGCTGCTACAGCCGCAAGCACCACTGTTATAAATGGCGCTGTGACCAGGGCTGGTGCTGGTGGTGGTGGTGATGGTGCTGCTGCTGCCGCTGCTTCTGCTGCTACTGCCCCTGCTCCCACTGCGTCTGCATCACCGTCAGTGCCCATGTTTCGCCCGGCTCCCCCGTCTAGCAGCCCGCCAGCCCTCTCCCCTAGGCCCTGGCGCGGTAAAGCTGCTGCAACGCACTCGCCCTCTGCTGCAGCTGCTGCTGCTGCTGCTGCAACGCATGCGAGCACTGCTGCAGTGGAAGCGAATCCAGCAGCTGCAGAAGCAGCGGTTACAGCAGCGACAGTCTCTGCTGCTTCTTCTGCTTCTGCTGCTTCTTCTGCTTCTTCTGCTTCTTCTGCGTCTGCTGGTGCTTCTGCCAGTGAGCAGGAGGGAGGAGAGGGCATTTTCTCCTCCTCCTCCTCGTCCATTCTCCCTTCCACTTTCTCCCTGTTCTTCAAACCTAAGATTCCTGCAGCTCCCACTTCCAGGCCTCCCTCCTCGTCCACACACACCCAAACCTCCACTCCAGGTTCGGTAATCAGCTCGGTCTCTTTCGCTAGCTTCGGCTCCGGCTTCACTAATCATAACCCTAACACTAACTCTCGAACCGAAGCTGCTTCCGAAGCTAAATCCGAGCCTCCTTTACGAACCATGTCCGGAAGTGTAGCAGGCTTACTGCCTGTATTCAATCGCTCTTTAACGGAGCGTGTACCTGCCAGTAGGAGCGCAGAAGGAGGAGCGGGCCAATCAGTACCGGGAGGAACTCTATATGGGGGACAAAGAGGGACGCTCATTGCCCCTGTGGGTGTAGCACAGGGGTCTGGGTACGGAGGGTATGGAGGGCAGGGAGGGCAGGGAGGGCAGCAGGGAGGGCAGCAGCAGGGGGGCCAGGGAGGGTACGGAGAGAGTGCATATGGGGGGGGAATGCAGAGTCTGGCTCAGAGATTCGGTGCTGCTTTTGCTCGCTCGTTCTCTGCAGGAAAGGAGCTGGCCTCGGGTGCTGGTGGTGGTGGTGGTGGCAGTGCTGCTGGCGGTGATGATGCTTCTGTTGCTTCTTCTGCTGCCAGTGGTGGGGGTGGGCTAGTTAGTGCGTTAGCAGCTAGAAAGCAGCCGCCACAGCAGCAGTATCAGCACTCTCAGCAGCAGTACTCCCAGCAGCAACAGCAGCAGCAGCAGCAGAGTTATGGCCGCAGGCTAGACCTAGGCCCGTTGTCCCCATTAGAAGAGCAGAGGGATGAGCTCAAACTGGAACCAAACGGTTTCATCCGCTCTCAGACCCTATGGGTGGGCAGGGGAGCAAGGGGCGGTATTCCCCCCGCTAAAGCGCCAGTTGCTTCTAACGCAGCTGCTTATAGAGAGAACGCAGCTTTAACTGCTTCTGCCAATCCCTCTGCCAATCCCACTGCCGCTGCTGCTCCGGAATTTGTTCGGTCTAGCACCCTATGGGCTGGTAGGGCTGCTCCTCCTACTGTGGCGGCTGGAGCAGCAGAGAGAGGGTTGCTGATGGGTCGAATGCCCGGGCTAGGAGAAAGAACGATGAGCTTAGGGGGACGGACTCTGAGTTTGGGAGGTAGGAATCAGAGCCTGGGGGGTGTCGTGAGGGGGGCGTCTCTGGTGAAGGTTGTACCTGTGAGGATGGAGGAAGAGGATGAGGATGAGGAGGAGGATTTGTATGGAGAGGGGTATGGGGAGGAGGAAGAGGAGGAGGATTTGTACGGGGAGGAGAGTGGGGGTGTGGTGGGAGGGGGAGTGAGGGAGGAGGAAGAGGAGAGGAGTGTGGAGGGGAGGGAGGCGAATGGGGTGAGTGAAGGGGAGGAGGGGGAGAGTGGGGAGGAGAGTGAGGGAGATGGAGAGAGCAGGGGTGGTGGGGGGAAAGAGGAGGAGGACGAGGGGGGAGGAATGGGGGTGCTTAGACTGCCGAGTATACGGGTGGGGGATATGCGGAGAGTAATGCAGGAGAAAAGGGAACAGCAGGAGTGGGAGGTGCAGCAACAACAGGAGCGGCAACAGCAGCAGCAACAGCAGCAGCAGCAGCAGCAGGAAGGGGAAGGGGAAGGAGAAGGAATCTTGAGGTTGCCAAGTATACGTGTGGGGGATATGAGACGAGTCATGCTGGAGAAACGGAAACAGCAGGAGAGGGAGTTACAGCTGCAAAGAGAGAGAGAGGCATTGTTGCAGGAGCAGCAGAGGCGGCAGCATGAGGAAGAGGCATGGCGGAGGGAGCAGCTGAAGAAGCAGCAGGAGGAGGAGGAGTGGTGGCAGCAGCGGCAGCAGCAGCAGCAGCAGAAGGAGGAGGAGCAGCAGAAGCAGCAGCAGCGGCAGCAGGAAGGCAGGGGAAACCACCGAATTCAGGGCGATTCAGTGAAATCCGACGTGTATAGATCGAATAGCAATGGTAGTAGTGCTGTGGACGCCCCTTCGGTGATCCGACACAGTTCTGGAGAGTCTTCTAACGGGGATGCGGGCAGTTGTAGTGTTATAAACGCGCCTTCTGTGATCAGACACAGTTCTGGGGATTCTTATAACGAGGATGGTGCGAGTGAAGGCGGGGGTAGTCACAGCAGCAGCAGAAGCAGAAGCAGAAGCAGGGGTGGCACTCCAACTAGTGAAAAAGATAGGGAGAGTGATAGGAGCAGCAGGAATAGCAGCAAGAAGGGTAGCAAGAAGGGCAGCAGCAGGGGCAGCAGGGGCAGCAGCAAGAGCAGTAGAGAGAGCAGTAGGGAGAGCAGAGGGAGCAGAGGGAGCAGCAGACGGAGCAGCAGCAGAAGCAGGTCAGGCAGTGCGGAGAGCAGCAGGAGCAAGGGCAGTGATACTGATGATGGTGCCAGTAACCATAGCAGTAACCATAGTGGTAACCCGAGTAGTGGTAACCATAGCAGTAACCATAGTGATGGCAGCAGCAGCAGCAGTGGCAGTGACAGTGGCAGTGGCAGTGGCAGTGGCAGTAGGGGTAGTGGTAGCGGCAGTGGTAGGGGCAGTGGCAGTCATACCGGTACTGGTGATGACAGGAGCAGCTGCAGCGATGGTGGTAATAGCAGCAGTGGTATCGAAAGTGTGGGCAGAAGGAGCAAGAGGAGCAGCACTGCCAGCAGAGGGAGCAGTGGCAAGAGCGGAAATAGTAGCAGGAGCAGCAGCAGCGGGAGGAGCAACAGCAGCAAGAGGAGGAGGAGGAGGAGGAAGGGAAAGGGCAGAAGCAGCAGCCAAGAAAGCTTGCATTCTGTCAGGGATTCCCACAGTAGAAGCAGCAGCAGGCGCAGCAGCAGGGGCAGCGGTGGTGCTGCTGATAGCAGTGCTGCTGATGCACCTGCAGAGGGGGTTCCCGCAGTGGTTCAGGAGGAGGATGGTGTGCCTACTTCTGTTGGGGACGATGGGACTTCAGTTGACGCCGCACCTGCTGCTGCTGCTAACACTCCTGCTGCCACAGCTGGCACTGGTGCCACTGCTGCCACTGCTGTTGCTGCTGCCACTGTCTCTGCTACTGCTGTGCCCTCTTCTCCCACTGCTGATTCTGCTGATGGTGTTTCTGGTGATGATGCTGTTGCTACGGCTAGTGTTAGTGCAGCTGTTTCTGCCACTAATGCCAGTGAATCTGTTTCAGCAATTGATGTTGGTGGTGCTCCTGCTACTGCTGGTGCCAGTGGTTCTGTTGCGGCAATAGATGTTGCCGATGGGCCTGCTGCTACAGATGCTGCTACTGCTGCTGCCTCTGCTACAGATGCTGCTGCTACTACAGATGAAACTCCTGCTGCTACAGATGTCACCATTGCTGCAACAGATCCCACCGCTGCTGCCACAGATCCCATTGCTGCTGCCACAGATCCCACCGCTGCTGCTACAGATGGCACCGCTGTTATGGATGGCATTGCTTCTGCTACAGAAGTCACAACTTTTGCTACAGATGCCACAGCTGCTGCTACAAATGACACCTCTGTCACTGGTGGTTCTGCTCCTGTCACGCTCGCCCCTGCTACAACCGCCCCTGCTAACACTTCCAGTGCTACGGCCGCTCTTCTCCCTGCTGTCCCTGCTACGTCCGCCCCTGCTGCTTTCCCCCCTGTTACATCCGCCCCTGCTGCTGTCCCCCCTGCTACATCCGCCCCTCCTGCTGTCCCCCCTGCTACATCCGCCCCTCCTGCTGTCCCCCCTGCTACATCCGCCCCTCCTGCTGTCCCCCCTGCTGATACATTCGCTCCCACTTCTCCTGCCCTAATCCCTCCTGCTGCTGCTACAGCCGCCCCTGCCCTCATCCCTGCTCCTGCCGCTACAGCCGCTTTCACCGCCTCGCTGGCAAGCGGCGCTGCTGCCACGTCTGTAGCGGCAGCCAAGGCTGCTCAAGCACTAGCAGCCTACAAACGCTCCTCCACCCCCCCTAGGAGCCCTGTAGATCACGATACGTGGGATTCGGGGGAGGAGGAGGAGGGGGAGGGGAGCGGGGGATGGGGGGGAGCGATTGGGAGGAAAGGCAAGGCTGCGAGCTATGGGGGAGTGACTGGTTCGGAGCGAGGGGGAGGGTCAGGGGAAGGTGGGAGAGTGATTGGGGGAACGTTAGGTGGGGTGGTTGGGGAGATGGCAGGAAGGGGACTAGGAGGAGAGTCGGTGATAAATGCAGGAGGGGAAGGGAGAGGAGTGAGGGGAGGAGAAGGAGCAGAAGGAGCAGGAGGAGACATGAATGTTCCAGGGGCTAGTGTGGCTGGTGGCAGTGCGGTTGGTGGCGGTGTGATGGATAGCAGTGCGGTTGGTGCCGGTGTGGCTGGTGGCAGTGTGTGGCAGGGTAGGGAGTGGTTGGGAGGGGTGGAGGTGTTTGGGAGTGCCATTGACAACATGTGGAGCCCGCTTCCTGTGTTCATGGGGGGCAATGCAGGTGCACAGTCACAGTTCAAATCCCCCCGTACAGTCACACAGGGACAGTCATGGTCACAGTTTAAAGCTCCACATACAAGCACACAGTCACAGTCACAGTTTAAAGCCCCACAGTCAGCCACTCAGTTACAGTCACAATCACAGTTGAAATCAAATCAAGCGATTCCTGGAACAAGCAGTCAGCAGCACAAGCCCCCACACAGAACAACTAGCCGCTTTGACACCTCTGGAACCGCACCCAACCCCTCTGAAACCACGCTGAACCCCTCTGGACCCACCTCTCTTACCACCCCTGCTAATGTAATGACTCCCACTGATATAATCACACCCACATTTCCCACCCCTAACAGCCTAACACCATCAACATCATCAGTCGCAGCAGCAATAGCCGCATTCTCAAACCCATCTGCCCTTGCTATTTATCCGGTCACCCCTTCAACTAGTGTAATTAGCGGAATTACCCCATCCAGTGGTGTGCCGAATAGGGTTACCATACCGGTTACCCCGTCGAGTGTTGTTTCTGGTTACACCCCCGTCGCTCCTCTCCGCACCCCTCCTTCCTTCCTCGCTCGCCAAAACTCCGCCCCTCCTGCTACACCCATGGGAAAGCCTGGGGGTTTTGCCACTGCTTGGGGTACTGATGCTGGTGCTGCCGGTGCTGCCGGTGCTGCTGGTGCTGCTGGTGCTACTGCAGCTACTGCTGGCAACACGAACGCTGCTGCTGCCGTTGCTACAGCTGCCACAGCCGCTACAGCCGGCGCTACAGCCGCTCGCTCGTTTTTTGCCACGGAGCTGCGGTGCTCCCTGTGCGGCCACGTGGACCTCTGCCAGCTGGACGCCAGCCTGGCGCGTGACGTGGCGGAGCTGCACGCGTTCCTGTGCCCTGGCGGTGACGTCAGCAGCAGCAGCGGCGGCGGCGGCAGCAGCGGCAGCAGTGGCAGCAGCAGCAGCAACAATAGTGGCAATAGCAGCAGCAGGAGCAAAACGAGTGATTGCATGCAGCAGTGGTCTTCTCTTCTCCCCCGCACGGCACTCCATACTCGCTTCCTGGCCATTCCCACTGCTCTCAGACGAAGGCAGAAGCAGATGGAGGAAAGGCAGGGGCAGAAAAGGCAGGTGCAGCAGCAGGGGGGGGAGAAGCTAAGGGAGACGCAGCAGGTGGGGCAGAAGAATGGGAAGCAGGAGGGGTGCTTGGTTTTGCAGGCGCTGCAGCGAGGGGTGTGGAGGAATAGAGGACTCACTCAGGATGTGCTACAGCAGCTGGGAGTGGGCATGCTGCAGGTATGTGCGTGGATGGGTGGGTAGGTGTGGATGGATGTGAGGATGGGTGCTTCAAATTGCATACGCTGCAGCAAAGGGTGTGGAGGAATAGAGGACTCACTCACAATGTGCTACAGCAGCTGGGAGTGGGCATGCTGCAGGTATGTGCGTGGATGGGTGGGTAGGTGTGGATGGATTGGTGTGTGGGTGTGGATGGGTGGGGTGTGGTGGAGGAATAGGTGTGCAGTGCAGCAGCAGCTGGGAGTAGGCATGCTGTAGGTACGTTTGTGAGTGGGTAGGTGTGTGTGGGTGTGGATGGGTGTGTGGGTGGGTGCTTGGTGCTGCAGACGCTGCTGGGAGTGGGTATGTTGTTTGCAGGTGTGTGTGTGGGTGGATGGTGGGTGTGTTAGTGAGTGGGTGCATGCGTGGTTGGGTGGTGGGACCAAAAGAAAGGCAATGTGGGGTGTGATGTGGGGAAATGTAGCGCTCAAACTTACTCTCCCTCACCCTAACCCCCCTCTTCCGCTCACCTCCCCTCCCATCTGCTCTTGCTTGCAGATCCTCGCTTTCATTCTTAAGCCATCGAGCGGTGTGGCTGTCAAAAGACGAGCTTGTGGCAACCGTGGTTGCTTACACTGTTTCGGCTCCCCTTCTCCTCCTCCCCTTTCCATCCCTTGCTTGCAGATCCTCGCTTTCATTCTTAAGCCATCGAGTGGTGTGGCTGTCAAAAAGATGAGCAGGCGGTTCCCTGCTCGTTCTTCCTCAAAAAGATGAACGAGGTGGTTCCCTAATTCCGTTCCCTCTTCGTGTGATGAGTCGCTTTTTGAGTCGACTCAAAAGGCGGTTTTTTTAGTCGAATAAAAAAACGAGGCGGTTCCCTAATTCTGTTCCCTCCTCGTTCTTCCTCCTTCCCTTTCCATCCTCCGATCAAATCCCCTCTGGTCTCAGATCCTAGCATCTATCCTCAAGCCTCTCCCGGGAGTGGCGTGGCTGTCTAAAGATGAACTGGTGGGAACCGTTGTTGCTAATACTGTTTCCACTCCCCATCTGCTCCTCCCCTTTGCATCCCTTGCTTTCAGATCCTCGCTTCCATTCTTAAGCCGCTCCCGGGAGTGGCGTGGCTGTCAAAATACGAGCTGGTGGCAACCGTGGTTGCAAAGAGGGAGAAGAGTGAATTGTGCTTGCTATTACGGACCTCTTTCTTTTTCCTTCTTCCCTTCCTCTTGCCTTGCTTTCAGATTCTCGCATCTATCCTCAAGCCGCTCCCGGGAGTGGCGTGGCTGTCAAAAGATGAACTGGTGGGAATTGTGGTTGCTGAGAGGGAGAGGAGGGAGGCGGAGGGGAAGGAGAGGGTGGAAGAAGAGGAGAGGAGCAGGAGGGAGGGGGAGGAGAGAGGCAGGAGGGAAGAGGAGGAGAGGGAGAGTTGGGAAGAGGAGAAGGAGAGGAAAGAGAAGGAGGAGAGGGAGAGGAGGGAAAAGGAGGAGAGGGAGAGGAGGGAAAAGGAGGAGAGGGAGAGGAGGAAAGCGGAGGAGAGGGATGGGGAGGAGAGGAGGAGGTGGGAAGAGGAGGAGAGGGAGAGGAGGGAAGCGGAGGAGAGGGAGAGGAGGGAAGTGGAGGAGAGGGAGAAGGGGGAAAAGGAGGAGAGGAACAAGAGGGAAGAGGAGGAGAGGGAGGGGGAGGAGAGGAGGAGGAGGGAAGAGGAGGAGAGGAACAGGAGGGAAGAGGAGAGGGAGAGGAGGGATGTGGAGGAGAGGGAGAGGAGGGAAGAGGAGGAGAGGAACAGGAGGGAAGAGGAGGAGAGGAACAGGAGGGAAGAGGAGGAGAGGAACAGGAGGGAAGAGGAGGAGAGGAACAGGAGGGAAGAGGAGGAGAGGAACAGGAGGGAAGAGGAGGAGAGGAACAGGAGGGAAGAGGAGGAGAGGAACAGGAGGGAAGAGGAGGAGAGGAACAGGAGGGAAGAGGAGGAGAGGAACAGGAGGGAAGAGGAGGAGAGGAACAGGAGGGAAGAGGAGGAGAGGAACAGGAGGGAAGAGGAGGAGAGGAACAGGAGGGAAGAGGAGGAGAGGAACAGGAGGGAAGAGGAGGAGAGGAACAGGAGGGAAGAGGAGGAGAGGAACAGGAGGGAAGAGGAGGAGAGGAACAGGAGGGAAGAGGAGGAGAGGAACAGGAGGGAAGAGGAGGAGAGGAACAGGAAGGAAGAGAAGGAGAGGAACAGGAAGGAAGAGGAGGAGAGGAACAGGAGGGAAGAGGAGGAGACCACTGCAGCTGCTTCTGCTGCTCCTGCTGCTCCTCCTCCCACTGCTCCTGCTGCTCTCCCTTCCACTCCCGTTGCTCTCCTTCCTACTGCTCCTTCTGCTGCTCCTCCTGCTGCTCCCCCTGCCACTGCTCCTCTAGCTGCTACAGTGATGCACCCTGCTACAGTGGCACAGTCTGCTACAGTGGCACATCCTGCTACAGTGGCGCATCCTGCTACATTCCCACATCCTGCAATAGTCACAGCTCCTCACCCACCTGCAATAACACCTGCTATAGTCACAGCTCCTTACCCACCTTCACAAGCACCTGTTTTAGTCACAGCCCCACACGCAACCCCAATAGCATCTGTTATAGTCACACCATCACACCTACCTGCTATAGTCACAGCTCCACACCCACCTGTTTCTGTTCTGAGGCCCAATCCAGCAGGCAGCATTCACGTCAACTCCCCATTTCACCTCTCTTCTGCTGCTGCTTCTGGCAATGCTGCTCTTGGTGCTGGTGCTGCTGGTACTGGTGCTGTTGCTACGGCCCGACTTGCCCCCATCAATGTTAACCCCACCCTGCCTGCACCCGAGCAGCTGAGCTCTTTTCAGGAAGCTTTTCAGAGCGGTGCAGGTGGTGTTGAGAGTGGTGTGAATGGTAGCACTGAAAACGGCTCTTTAGGCCAATTAGAGGCTCGGGCACTGGCAGCACTGGAAGACGATCTTAGCTTCAATGCCAAGGCTGCGGTTCAGGAGCAACGGGCTGCTGCGGAGGCTCGGGCAGTCCTTGCTGAAGCTGAGGAGCAGCTTCGGCGAGCACAGGCTGCAGTGAACCAAGCCAGGGCTGCTGCCTCTGAGGCAACCCACCGGGCCGAAGCTGCTGCAGCAGAGGCTCGGGAGGAGATGGATCAGCTGGCGGAGGCTCGGGAGCAGGTTCGGAGGAAGGCTGAGGAGTGTCGGCACGCTTGGGACCGCCACATCAGCATCGTGCGCCAGCTGGCGGCTGTATCTCCTGGCGCGTGTGGCAGGAAATCTTATTCCAGAAGGCGTAAGGAGGAGTTTGAAGCGGCAGCAAGGAGTTATGAGGAGTACTTGACGCTGTGGGAAGAGCTGGAGTGCATGGGACGAGGGAGCCTGCCGGAAACGCCACAGGCACAGTAATGCTGCAATGGTGCCTGCATATGCAAGGCCTTCCTGTTCGGTCAGAAATGACTGCGATCGGGGAGTATTTGGCATCGTGGCAAGAGTATTTCTCTTCGAGTATTTCTCTTCAGGAAGAGCTTGGATCTAGCGAGGGTACGTGTATAGCCACAAGCATAACAATGCTAGATGGCAAGGGGAGGGAGGAGTAAGCAGCAGCGAAGTGAGCTTAAACCTGTGGGGCATGGGGTGGTGTGTGGCTGAAATCATGAAATGCCTCAGGCACTCTCAGGTCTGCATGGGGAGGGGGGGAAGGTGCTACAGCCCTTGTGTTTCTGAGTCTGCAAGGAGGTTGAATTCATTCAGCTGGGTGGTGTTTAGATGTTGACTTGACAGGCACGGATAACTTGAATAACAAGCCTATGTTGGGGTTACACGTAGGAGGGGAGTGTCTGACCGTACAGTAGGAGTACAAGTAGGTGCGCTAGCTAGGGATAGAAGGATGAGTGCTGGTGCACCTATTTATATGAGCTTTGTGAATATAGCTGCAGTTTATGAAGTCGGGTTTACTCCTTTATTCTGTAGTGTGGGTATTTGAGTTGGAGGAAGTTGTATTACCCTGGCCACCCCATTCACTTTATAAGCATGAGCACCATACACTTTGGGACGCAGGCCCCTATATTCGTTTTGAGGTAGTTTGAGGCCTTACAGTACACCCCTCTTCCTAGTCTAGCAGTCAGAGTGACCCGATTTTTTTAGTCTGAGAGTTCAGACTACACTTGCATTTCAACGCTGATCATACAGAGTAACAGTCTGTTTTCCGGCATATATGAAAACACTTAAGTAAACCTTTTACATTTCTTCTTGATAGCGTGACAGAGATACTACAAGGGCACGTTCTACTACTGTCTCGTCTACAGGCTCCTTCCCAGCCCTAGAGGGCTCCTCCCTGTGCCTTGCAGCACGTGCTGTGACCGGCCGGCACTTCTTGTAGTTGCGCCATATCTCTACTACTCCTGGGACATCTAGCTCATAGTTTAGGAGTGAAATACAGAGCAGATCACTCAACCTACAATCCTTTATGCTGCCCCTCTACCACGTTTTGATGAAATTATGTCAGGAGAATCCTCGCTCACACTCGACCGTGCTGAGAGGCAGCACGGCAATCGCCACCCACAGTGCGACGAGGTTGGGGTATGCCTGCTGTAAGTCGGGTGTCCTGAGAATCGCGGCAAACTTGCGCTCGCTCTTCAGAGCTCTGGCAAGGACTGGACACAGTGTGCGCAGCTCCCTCACGGCTTTCTTCTTGTCAATGCTTGCAAGGTAAAACAGCACACGGGTTTAGTAAACAAGTCGTTGTCAAAGGGGGAACGGGGCGGAGTGACACAAAAACATACCAGGTAGGATCTCGTCGACTTCATCTGCGCGAAACAATGTGACAAGCGACAACAACCACTCTAGGCATTGTGCCTGCCGTGCATCCCGGTCCCAGTGCGCTTGCCACATCTCCGGAATAAACAGCCACATCTCCGGAATAAACAGCCTCACTCCGGAAAGAGAGTCAAGGTCGCCGAGCTTGGACTGGAGGTTCTCGACGACGAGCGCGGCCATGTCGGTGCAGAGCGCAACGCAGGCGACCTGGCCCACGATAGCTCAAGTTGGTGAGCTCGTGAAGTTTTACCTTGAAGCGGTTCATACTGCCGTCGGACGATGCTCCTCCCACCACCATTTTTTGTGACCCACTCAGATCGTGCTTCTGAATGAAGCGGTAGAGCCTCTCGGTCGCCCCCCCCCCCCCCCCCCCCCCCCGAAGTCGTCGCCACAATCAATGTACTGGGCCTCCAAGGTCGATGTGGTGCGCACAATCTGCGCGTGCACCAGCGCGTAGTCGAGTTGCATCACAAACATTCAACGAAAATTAGTACAAAGGGTTTTGTACTAAAACCACCACAAGCAACACCCTGAAAGTCACTTACCTCCCGCTTCTGGAAAACTGAGGAGAGGACGTTGAGCTGCTCCAGCATATCCACGAGGAACTTGATGAGGAACTGGAACTGTACGACATGACGAGTTCGTACATGGTCTGGTCCTTCCACTCCGACAACATCACCATGATGGCAGGTAGGACTTGGACGAAGCGGGCGACTGCAACTCCTCTGGACAGCCACCGCACGTCGTGTATGCCTTGGACCTCGAGGTTGGTGGACGTGAACACCTTCTGGAGCTCCATGAAGCGCTGATGCCACGGCCCCGATCGCCCAAGGTACTCTGCGACGGCGCGGATCACGTCGTCAACCATGTTGAAGGTTGGTATTGCCTCCGCTACGGCTTTGGTAGCCAAGGCCTCCCTGCGAAACAAAACCACAAATGTTAAAGATTAATAAAGTTCTTCAGTGGCGTTTACACCTGGCATTAAAACACAAACGCACCGGTGAGCGATGCAGTGAAACGAGACCATGTTCGGGACGAGCTATCGCAAACGAGCAACCACACCATTTTGACTCCCCACAATCACAGACGCACCATCCGTGCTCACTCCCGAGATACGCCGGAGGTCAACGCCGACAGCCCTGAGGTGGGAAAGCAACAAACTGCACAAAGATGTAGCGTCAGCCCTCTCAACCGTCAAATGCGCGACGAACTCGGCGACAACTTAGCCATCAAGGAGAAATGTGGCAATCAGAATCATGTGTTTGCCGTGCCGACGATCGGTGCTCTCGTCCAGTGTTATCCCGATGAAAGGGCTCAAGAGAAGGTGCTCCGGTTGCGTTGTTTGGAGCCATGTCGCAATTGCTTGAGTGAGCTCTCCAAAGCCGTACCTACACAAGGAAACATAGTCGTTAGCGAAGGCCATCGACAAAAAAATGTTGTAAACACGGGGGATACATGAGACATTACTTTCGTATTATAGTATGTGCCGTAGCCCTGCTGGGGAAATCCGAGCACCTTATTCTTCGCCATGTAGCGCACCAGCCGGATCCACGAGTCCATGGGCTCGTTGCACTTCCCCATGAAGTACACCGAGTCCACGAGCGACGACACCTACAGCAACTCCATGTCATGCGCTTTCGAGTGCATGTCTGTCAGAGTTATATTATTGTAACTGCATGTAGATATAGCAGTAGTGTAGTTATCACATTCTGTTTGGTGGATTACCCCCTTTCCTATCATATTTGTACCCTTAGCTCTATAGTGAAGTCCTCTTTCATTGCCAACTCCCTCACACTCTACCTCCCAACATGGCTCCTAAGGCTAAACCCTAGCAACATATCCTGACATGGTACAGAGCAGGAATTTCTCCTGAGGACCTATTTTGTTTTAATGATCATGGGCCCACCCGTCGTGCCGCCCGTAATGCGCCCCGCGGGTCCCCCGAATCGCCCCGTGGACGAACCCCGCGGGTCCCGTTTTTCGCTTTCTGTAGGCCCTTCGTTTCGCGTCGCGCCCGTGCGCCCTTTTCGTCCGTCACGCTCCCCCCGTCGCCCCGCGATCCGCCTTCGCCAGCGAGGACGCCAGCGCCACGGCCAGCCGCGAGCGCCAACGCTGCAGCCAGCCGCGAGCGCCAGCGCCTGCGCGGACCGCCAGCGCCACCGCCAGCAGCTGCGACGGCCGCCAGCGCTAGCGCCAACGCGACCGCCAGCGCCGGCAGTGGGTGATTCCGCCCTTCCCTTCCGTCGTGGGGGGGGGGGTTGGGGGGAGGGGGCGGGTGTGAGGAGCCTGCCGCTCCTCCCTCCCTTCCCTCTTCCTCTCTCCCTGCAGCAATTGTTGCTGAGGGGAGGGGGGGGGAGAGAGGGTAAGGGGGGATAAAGGAGGGTATGAGAGAGAGAGTGGCAGAAGCAGCAGCCCTGCATTTGCAACTGCCACCCCCTGCTCCTGTGGCATCTCCAGCTGCAGCCCCTGTTGCCACTTAATTCGTCTCTTTCGTTTGCTGCTGTTGAGCGGCAGGTGCTGCCGTTGAGCCTGCTGTGCCGCCGCTTGTTGCCGCCGCACGCCGCTCTCCAGGCGACCTGCGCCACATGCACCTTTCTTTCGTTTCTGTATTGGCTAAGGGGTTTCTGCTGTTGTTTCTGCCACTGCTGCACTGGTTGTCATTGCTCTTGCGTGCTAATGCTTTCAGTACACTTGCGGGTTGTGATTTATGCTTTGCTATTCCTGCATGCAGTTAAGGGGGGATGTCAGAGTTATATTATTGTAACTGCATGTAGATATAGCAGTACCGTCATCGCCCGGATAGAAGACAGTGTCGAATTGAAGACAGGGGGTGTCTTTAATACGGGTGTTTCTTATAGTTGGGTGCTTCCGATTATAAGCCACCTACAAGCGTGTACGACTTAAGACAGTGCCTACTAAACAGTGCTAGGGTTTAGGGTTTCCTTATAAAGGGGGTGGGTGTCTTATGATCGGTTCTTGCATTCAGGGGTGGGGGGGTACATGCATGCATTTATCCAATCTTACTATTTCTACCTAGCCCCCCTCTGTTACGCCCTCATCTGCACTAGTAGATGGTGGCTCCTGCATCCCCAAGTCTGGCACTCGCCAGGCGTGTCTGGCTGTCTGCACGGGCTCGATCATGCGGTCAGCCTCGGCCGCCGCTCCCCGGTAGTGAGGGGTCTCCTGGTACAGCACCTCCAGGCCGGTGGCCACGGCCACCTCTTTCACGCCCTCCGCCTGCATCTCCTCCTCCTCCTCCTCCTCGGGAGCGTTCCCAAGCAGGCGCGTGTTGTCGCCCGTGGTGCCCCCGAGGCACATGTCTTCGGTGACATCGGTGGTGCTCCTGGCGCGCAGGTGGGACATCACCAGATGGTTCTCGGTCCCATCCAGCTTGCTTGAGATGCCGCAGTGACGGAACGCGTCAATGATCACCTGCCTAGGGACTTGATCCCACGCCTCCGCTATCCACTGCAGCACCACGGGATGCGGGGGTCTCCTCAGGTTCCCTGCGGGTGGGTCACATTCAGAGCAAACGTGCCGTCAGATACCGTACATCAAGAGCTACACTGGCAGGCATTTACTGATCACCG